GTTTGTCATTTTTTTTTTTTTTTTTTTTTTTTTTTTTTTTTTTTTTGTGGCTCGTTCATAAGGGGATCTGAACCCTTTTGACCTTGGTGTTACTGACACCAGACTCTAACCAACTCAGCTAACCTGCCAGCTCTCACTTGTTTTGTTTTTGGAACTTATTTGGTTACAAAACCTGACCTAAACTTATTTTGGTAGCAGAACCTGAACTGAACAGACTGTGATGCTATTTATAGTTTTATTTATTCCACTTAGAGTAAACATTCCTATGTTTTGCTGCAAGGGTACTGTTCCAGTTCTGATAGGGACATTTACATGTATTAATAATTATTTTTTATAAAAGCCCAGAAACTTTGAGTTATGAAACCCATCTGACCCTAAATGTTTTGGATAAGGAATTATGGACCTGTAAATCCCATAGAATAAAATGTTCAAATTAACTAAGATTAAATTAATATCTTGATCTCTGAAAGACAGCTAAATAAAGAATGAACTAGAATGAACAGCCATATATGATATCTTTTCTTAAAATGCTTTTATGAACTATGCTTGGATAAATGATGATATCAAGACAAAGCATAACTGATTTTTTAATGTTTACAAAAAATAAAGCATGTTGGTTTCTTCCTTCCATAAGCGTTATTGAGGTCCTCGGCTATGCCTGGGAACCTAGTAGTTTCCTCAAGTCTACAGGCCTTTTCTCAGACAAGGTGTTTGCTGCTGAGACCCGGAGGTTTTGAGGAACTGATTAAGGTCCCCCACCCTGCTGGTGACAGAGTCTGGTCTGGTTCCGAGGTTCCAGATGACCTCCGCATGCTTTCTGCTCTACCAAGCTTGCTTTCTGTTTAAGAATTATTTCCCAACAATGGAATTATTGTTAAAAAGCATGAGATCTATATTTTACTCATATCTCATACTATTTTCCTAAGGTAAAAGAAATGATGGATTTAAATCTGTTAGTATCAGGTCCCATGTGTAATCTCCAGAAAAGACCTGTTGCAGCGTTTGTGCGAACTAGAGACTTCAAGCCTCTAGGTGGCGGTATCGCTCTACATGGTGGTTTTTGACACTCCCTAAGAAGCATTATGCACAGCCATCTCCAAGACTTACAGAACAGGATCTTGGTTAAGTCTGAACTTTGCATTTCTGAGATTTTTAACATTCAACTGTTTTGTTGCTGGTTGCTTCTCCCACCACAACCTCAAAGGAAACATGTTTACTACTAAAAGGAGGAAGATTTTGGAACAGTTAAAATGGAATGAAATTTGTAGCTATTTAAAGGACCGTATTAGGAGTTAGCATTTTATTTTCAAATTTCTGTAACCTTTTAGCAAAGTCAGAGTGTTGTAAGAACAAATAATAATGGGTTTTCATAATCCAAGGTGACAAGAGACAAGGAAAGAATCATCTCTATGCCTCACTTTATCCGCAGAAGCAATTAATAATTTTGACTACTATAGAAGGGAATAAAAGGAAGCTGTATTAAAAGTGTGCTCTAGGCTGGCTGGTTAGTTTAGTTGGTTAGCGCACAGCCTCATAACGCCAAGGTCATGGGAGCCACCAAAAAAATAAGTGTGCTCTATTTTAGGGTTCCATGGGTGGCAGGGAGGGAAGCTTGCAATTAGTATAAGCCACCAAACACGTCATTTAATGTCTTTTCAGTAAAAGGGAGTTCACAGGGCAGCAAAAAGATGAGTATAAGAAGCACAACTCTGAATTCGTGTAAAAAAAAGCTGGTCGAATTATTTGAAGAGAATCAGTATGAATGAGTTTTACGTTGCATCAGATTCTCAGTGAAGATTTACTTCAAGGGAAGAAAGAATAAAATACAAAAACGAACAAAAACTCCACGCACTTTACAATGTTTGTGGAAATATGAGTATAGCAACCTGTGCTTCACTTTAAAGGCTACTTGGTTTGCTCTCCCCCAAGCACAGAAACCCAGATTCAGATGGGAACATCCACAACCCCTTCAATGCCACTGGGAAGCGGAGCACACTTTTCTGGAATTCTGATCCAACAGGCTCTATATGCCATACAAATAAACAAGTCCGGGCAGTTTTCAACGTTGGAAGTGTGTGCTGTTGATAACCTCTGTGCTCAGAACCTCTGAGTCAGGGGGAAAACACCTTAAAATATTCACAGAATACAAACAACATATTTACTTTCTTCCAATTTTAAAAGTTAGTCTTTTTCTTAGTAGCTGCAGATTTGTGAATGTGGCTTATTATTCATATGGGCATACCTTATAGTATTCTAAACTTCTTGAGAATGATTAAAGATTATAGTTTAGGAGCAATGGAACATGGAGAAAATGGAATAAATTCAAAAGAAGGTGTGTTGACAGGAAAGCTGTAAGGGGGGCTACAGCTTGTAGAGGTAAACACACAAGCTTTGGAATCAAACAAACCTCTGCTCAGATCCTGGTTCTGCTCCTTATAACCTATGGACAAATCATTAAAGGGCTTACTTAGTACAGTGCCCAGCATATAACATCTATGTTGGCTCTCGTTAATGTTTCTGGTAACCCATGGTGGAAGCTTGGCCGCTGTGGAATATATCAGTAATAAGAACACTGCAGTTTAGAGGTAGCTGTACTTTCTACTTAAGAATAAATAACCTGTTTACTGGGAATGTCACACTGAAAAAATAATGTTGAAATCCTGATTAGACAGATTTAGTGATTAACTGTCAAATAGTAATGCTTTCTAGCAAACGGCAAGATCTGTAACTGGATTTGTGTGTGCACTCCTTGTCCTACTCCAAGCACATAAAAGAATCATCTGTGTGTGCTCAGTTATCTCACTACCTTGTGAAGAATCCAAAATTGACACAGCTGTTACTAGAAGTTCTTACCACTTTTTTCCCTTAAGTAAAGGACAGTGGAAAGACTTTTTGACCGGGTGGTGGTGTGACAGATCTCAGTTATCATTCCTTCTGGGTCACTAGTTGGCCATTTACCATAGGCAAGTTACTTAATCTCTATAGGTCTATCTCTACATCGAAAATTTATTTCTGAAGATTTTTATTTATTTAACTCTTACTTTCAACATTCTAACAGGAAACTACAAGAATCTCTTCAGCTATGAGATAAAAAATCTTGTTAGCAGATATTCCGTAAGACCAAAGCCTGACGGATCAGCAAAATATGGTGAAAAGAGACTAGGACTCACCCATAGCCACCCCATCAATTGCAGAATAATAGAAATCCTTTTTCCGCAGCTTGGGAAACCGAGGTGCAGAGAGGGTGAAAATACCCATTTGTCCTGCTTTCTTCTAGAGCTTTTTCAAGATTTAAATGAGTTGGCGGATGTGGGACTACCTTACTTTCATGTGTTACTCTGCAGTATTCAAGGAACTACTACTGGGTCTGCAATTTCATGTTATGACTAATAATTGCCTCCAGGAATTACTATTTTTTAACAGCCAAATTTATTTGAAAAATAGCCAAATCCTTTAGATTGTGCTCTAATTGTATCCAAATTTATTGCATTACTCTGTACCTGATAAAAATAGATGTGATTTTTACTGATCTGAAATCCCATAGGTTGTTTTATGACTCCATTTCCAGTTTTTCTATGGTAAACAAAAGTGTATCTATTTACACAGTTTTCATCTGTATTTATACACTTTTGCTAATCTAATGCTGGTGAAGGCTTTACAGTAACAACTGATTTATTGTAAGCAACCAAATAAACACTCACAGGAAGCTATTCTCCTAAGATCCTGTTTTATCCAACCCAGGCAGAAGATGAATCAAACTGGCCATTCTACCCTAACAGAAACTAATACTTGTTACTTCAGGGTAAGAAAGAAAATAAAAGAAACAAGAAACAAATACCTTGGCTTGCCTGCGCATGGGGGAAAACGCCTGTCCAAATTCTGCAGTGTAACTGTTTAGCCCTGAGGCAAAAGATTTGATTATAATCGTTATCTTAACATTAGTAACTGCAAAATTAGGGACCAGAAATTGACCTAGCTACGGAATTTAACACCAGGATCTTAGGAAGCTGTCTTACTGGCATATTTCTAAAGAATGCAATCCCTTTTATTTATCTTAAGCAAAGACTCTTTCATTTGTTCAGTGTCTCCTGTATTTTTTTAAAAAAACAGAGACTGGTTATAAATAGATGAATGGACAAAATGACAAGAACCACCTACCCCCTAAATCTTGTCCTGGGATGTTTCTTGCAGATTGTGTTTACACCTTCTCTATTCATTGGTCATGACCCACTTCAGAGAATTTTGTAGGTTCAGCACAGTTCCTTATATCCACAAATAATTTCCCAACCCTTCTATTTCCATGCCAAGCTTAGCTCTATTTATGAGATATGCATATTTTGGATAACAAATTAAAATTTACTTGTTATACTGACCTCAATATCAATCACTCTCTAAAAGTCACTGTGGTTTTTTTCTTCCTTGGTGTCCAAAAGACAAAAAAGTGGCTACTTGTTTTCCTTATATATTGTGTCAAACTTCTGAAGATTCCAGGTAAACTATATTTGCTGTATTGGTTAGCTTTTCTAAAGCATTTTAAATGATCCAAAGGGTTTGATTTTCCTCAAGTGGTTTTAGCAATAACTTGATTTGATGGGCCGGCCCGGTGGCGCACTCCTACAGTGCGCCGCTTGGGAAGCATGGCGGCGCTCCCGCCGAGGGTTCGGATCCCACATACAGACCGGCCGCTCACTGGCTGAGCGAGGTGCGGGAGCAACACCGAGGGTTGCGATTCCGTTGCCAGTCCCGGTCCGGTATGGGCGCGACACTGAGGGTTGCGATCCATTGCCGGTCATGAAAAAAGACAAAAAGGAAAAAAAAAAAATAATAAAAAAAAAAAAAAAAAAAAAAAGCAATAACTTGATTTGATAAAGTTAAAATAGATGCTTCATTAGTTTCCTTGGAACTGAAGATAGGACCAACTGCTTTAAATGTCAGAGAGTTCAGAAGCTTTAATCTTAAATTACAATATGAAGATGAGAAACATGAAAAAAGAAAGTTGTAAAAGTAAGCAAAATAAGACTATACTTGTGGATGTTTCCTTTTTATTATTTCAGTAATTGCTAAATTGTGGGTGGGTGGGTAGTGTAATGACCCCATTACTTATCACCAATTTACAATTAAACTGATTCTGAAATTAGATTTTAGTAGCCAAACCTCAAGACTAAAAACTGAAGCCACTACAATTTGTATGGTTCTTTATTTCTCACAAAGGTATGTAAGTGTTTTACTAATGTAATAACGTCTTGGTTGAGACCGTTTCAATTTTTAGATTGAGATTACATAACATCTACTATGCGTTACTGACTTTATACCAAGTGGACAGTATTTCTTGTTAGTTAAAATGTGGTGAATTTTCAAATCACAAATATAACTCCTATAATTTCTTGCCTCTAGGTCCTCAAATAATTTCAAAGGCTTTGTGATGGCCCCAAACCTTAAGGCCAGGTCTACCACTGCAGTCCATAAAATGAATTAAGCTTTGACTGCCTCACCACATGCTGGAGGAAAACACTTCATCTGGGACTGTGCAGGAATCAATAGCTTCACATGCCTATCTCCAACCAAAACATATTTGTAAAGTATGTACATGTTTCTCTAATTCCTCAGTTCCTTAAAGTGGATGTTCTGTAAATAACTATTCATTTTGTCATTTACTGTTCTGTAAAACATGAGGAAGAGACCAGGGGAACTGGGGCCCCAGCAGGAGCAGGATTGTTTCTTCCAAAATCTCATTTTATTCTGAGTTACCACTACAAATAGTAAAATATATTTATGTGGCTCAAGTGTGACTTAAAGTCTGTAAATTATATTGGGTCCTGGAATGGCTTAAAGGCTCTTCTGGCCAATTATATTTATTTCTGTTTATACGAATTGGCAAGAAGCTACTGTATGCTGGCTCTCAGCCACCTCTAAGTTCCTTACATTTACAGTCACTTTTATCAGAGATATAATATTTTTACTTCAAAGATCCCTGGACAGTATTAATAAAGGAAAGAAAGGAATAATACCCCATCACATTAAGTTTTCTCTTCTTCTCATTAAGCATGAGAAAGACAAGGTGTCTCTTGTTCAGTTGGTAGTTTAGAATTTCCAGGAACGCAGTGTTTTAAGTAGAACTCAGAGCTAGTTGCTTTCAAGAGAAACTCTACATAAAGTATTACATTTGTCTGCCCATCTGGTTCTGGTTTTTTTTTTTTTTTTGGCTGGCTATAACAGGGATCAAACCCTGGACCTTGGTGTTAGCAGCACCATGCTCTAACAAACTGAGCTAACTAGCCAGCCCCGGTGCATTCTGCTTTAATGACAAGCAAAGTAGAGGACTAGGTAGGGTTTAAAGCTTTCTCTCGTATGTTATTTTAAAAGTTAATCCAAAGGCAATTTTAAAGATGTCCTGAAAATGAAGTGTTCCAAAATTCAGACACATTGTACAAACGCCAAAATTAAGTGTTCTAGGAGCGAGACATGCTGTAGTATTACATGAGTAGGGTTTGTAGTCAGACGGTCCAAAGTCCGTTACAAGCTGTAGAGCTTTGGCTTGGTCATAAACAAGACAGCCATCTCCAAACCTCAGCTTCTCTGTAATGGTGCTGTATCTCTCATGGTTGTTGAGAATTCAAATTCATTACCTCATGTACATTAGCCTGCCCATAATTGGCTCCCTGAGAAATCTTGCTTTCCTGGCCTCTAGAGAGAATGAAGAAACCTGAGTCTGGGCCATGCCTGCGAAAGAATTATAATTCTTGTGCATTAAAATGTTCTCCCAGGGCATACCATGGTAAAGAGGAGGGGACTTAGCTTGACAGTGTAGGTTCTGCTGGAATATTTTAAGCAAGTTATTCATTCCCTCTGTAAAGTAAGGGAGTTAGATTTGACTAAAAAGCTTCTGATATCTCTTTTAGCTCTAAAGTTCTACATAATATACAGGAAAAACGCAAAACCTCTACATAAACCCAAAACGCCAAAACCCCCATTCTCTTAAGGAAGAGATCTTACAACAAAAAGATCGCCCTCCCTGACATTTTAGGCTCTGCAGTTCGTAGTGTGGGTACAGCGGGTTCCCCTCCACATCTGAGAGAGAGGGGCGGGGTGTTTCCGGAAAACTCAAGGCCAGAGTCAGGCAGCAAAGGGTAGGGGCTGTCCCTGGGTAGAAAGGAAGTCAGGCTTTCGGGCAAGAAACTCGGGGATGTAAGGGAAAAGCACCTGCTAAATCTCGTTAAGATCGGGACTTAGCAGGGGGTTGGGCCTGCTGAAGAAGTGTGGGGATCCCAGCCCCGACGTGGAGGAGACACACTTCCAAGGAATCAGAGAGAAAGGTGGATGCAGGAAAAGGGTCGAGTGGGACCGCAGCCCCGGGGCACTCACCACGAGCGGGATGGAGCAGATGAGCACCACCAGGGAGGTGGCGATGAGTAAGATCACCATCTGGATCTCCGCGCCCGCGATGCGGCGGAAGCTCCGGCGGCGCCGAAAGTCGCTGAGGCGCGGCAAGGCCGGGGAGGCGGTGGGGTTGCTCCGGCAGGCGGCTGAGACGGCGGCGGCGGCCGCCGCGTGGTGCTGCTCGGTGCCCAGCGAGGTGCGGCGCATGAACTGGCGGTGCATGCGGAGCAGCGCGCCGCACACGAGCACGTTGCAGAGCACGGTGGCGAGAATGAGGAAGGAGCTGAAGCCCGCGTACATGTAGGAGAAGGCGGCGTTCGCAGTCACGTTGGTGGTCCAGTCGATGAAGCACCAGGTCTCAGGGTACTGCAGCCGCGAGCTGCCGAGGCCCATGTTGGGAAGCGCGCAGAAGAGCACGTTGGACGCATAGACGGCGAAGAGCGTGAGGCCAGCCAACCGCTTGTCCACGTAGTGGCTGTAGAAGTAGGCGTGGTTGATGGCCAGGTAGCGCTCGATACTCATGGCACAGATTATGCTGAGGCCGGACAGGCTGAAAAAGAGCAGGATGAAGGTGCTGTATTCGCACAGCGCCGGGCCCCCGGGCCACTGGCCCTTCAAGTACGTGGCGATGGTCACCGGGCTCACCAGCAAAGTGCCCAACAGGTCGGTGACGGCCAGCCCGCATACCAGCGTGTAGAAGGTCGTCTCCTTCTGCTCCTTTCGCGACTTGCACAGCACCACGATGGCCACCAGGTTGCCCACCACCCCGAAGATGAACATCACCGCTGGGATGGTCACCGGGCTGTTCAGCCGGTCGGGGAGCAAGGAGGCGGACGCATTGACCCCGGGAGTGGACATGATGGTGGTCGGTGGTGCGCAGCCTTGGAGTGCGAGTGGGGATGGCAAGAGAGAGACAAAGTCGGGGTGAGCAGAAATCACCAGTCACAAGGTGTGAGACCCGTGCGCAAGAAACAATATGCTGATGAGACAGAGGAGCAACTCGATCCCACTTTCTGGATTGCAGCCACTTACCAACTGCGGCTACCGAAATCTGCAGGCTCGCGAATAACGTCCTGCCAGCAGCACCACTCTACTGACATTAATATTTATAAGCTGATACTGCTATTCTCTCCTCCTCCCCCCAACCCAACTCACTCCACTTCCAAGATGAGCAAGACCCATCTCAAGGGAAAAGTGGCTCGCTAGTGTTATTCCCGACAGACTCTGAGTCAATAAAATTCTCACTGAAAACAAGTTTTGGAAGACAATCTGGACAGCGCACTCTCTCCTCCTTGGCTCCCTTCGAGGAGCGCCCGGCCACCGCGTTCTCAGCCCGATGCCCCCAACCCTATCTCACCTGTAGCGGCCGCAGCGGTGGCAGCTCCGTGAGCCCCCCAGGGACAAGCCTCAGATGTCGGGGACCCGCCTCCAACCTGCCTTCAGCCTCGTCCCGCTCAGTCTGGAGCTTGCCAGACCTTTGGCTTCTCGGAGTCGGGTCTCAGTGGCTGCCAATTTTCCGGAACTTGGGTCAGAGTGGGCAGCTTTCAAAAGCTTGGAGAGCAAGAGGGGTATGGGGTGGGTCGATGAAGACTGGTCTTCGATTTCTTGTTTTGTTTTTCCCGCCCCCCTTCCTTCAAAAACGAGCCCAGCTTCGCAGAGCCGGGAGGTCTGGTCCGCTGGAGGACAGCGTCCAGGTGTGCGGCGGTGCGCGCAGGTGGCGCGAAGCGTCAGTCCCCGGCTCCCGCCGCCCTCCTCCCAGCCGCGGGCAGCACGGGCGGCTACCGGAGCTGGCGGCTGCCGCTGGGGCCGCTCCGAGCGCTCTGGGGGCGGCTCGGCGTCCACTCGGCCTGTGTCTCTGACTTGGGGCTGTTCATCTTCCTCTGGGGCTGCCCGGCTCCGAGCTCCGCTCTTGCCCTTCCACTCTCTGTTCAAACTTTTCTCCTCCTCCAAGTTTCCCTGGTGGAGGCGGAGACAGACGGCGCGCGGCTCGGGCGCCCATTGGCCGGACAGGCACGGGGCGGAGCGCGTCGCCCCACGCGCGCGAGGAGGCGGGCGCAGCCGGCGGGGGGCGGGGCTCCGGGCGCCGAGGGTACCGCCGCGCCGCTGGGGGCGGCTCCGTGACTTTCCCGGCCCTGGGATGCGGAGCGGGCGCAGCTGGCGGAGTCTCTGGGCAGCTCCGGGGCTCGCCCGGTCACCCTCTTAGCCACTCCTGAACTCGGCATCCATCCTGGCCAATGCTGAAACCAGCCACTCTTCTCCCTTCCTGCTTGTCGCTCCGAGTGGGGTATTTCTTGCATCCTCTGCCCGTGGGCCGCAACATCTGTGATCTGGAAGGGAGGGCAACTGCTTTAGGACTCCACCTTGGAGTGGCGGCCGGGTGGGGAGGAAGGAGAAGTGGGGTGCATGGGTGTGGGCGCGACCGCGTGTGCTCCGGTCACACTTGGGTGTGCGCCGCGGGTGTAGTGGCTGGGTGGCTGGGTGGGTGGGTCCTGGGCTTGGGCGGGGAATCAACGAAGAAGCCTTCCTCTCACCATAAAAGGAGTTAGTTGGCAGTGCCCGGTAGGGCACCCCAGACAAATAAAGAGAAGAAACGAGGATTACAACGTCTGTTGGTGCAGGTGGCAGAGCCTTGCGGCTTTGGAGAGAGGTGGCCTGCCAGTACATGGGAGAGTTGGTGAGGCTGGAGGGGCTGTCTGTGTGACTGCGGAGACCTTTGTGTCCCTCTGGGGAACTTTTCTGCTCTGGAAGGACCGGTAGACTAAGCTTCATGCCTTGGGCCCTGTTATGTTCGTGTTGGACACCTTCACCAGGAATCCTTGGAAAGGCTAATAGAGGGTGAGGAGGGGCTTCTCAAGTCATTCGAATAAAGCGATTCTCCAGGCAGCTTCTCCTAGTTAACTCTTGGAAAACTTGTTTGCTCTACCTTTTTCTTTGAATTAGTTTGTTTGGCTTCTTGTCTGGTGGAGAAGTTTTTCTGTGTGCTCATTCACTTCTTTCTATACTATTTCCTAAAATCACAACTAAAAACTAAAAAAAAAATTGTAAAACTTCATGGTATAATTAAAATTAATTCATCATTTTTTTTAAAAAACTACAAAATGAATTTGCATGAATTTTTGCACAGTTTGAACTCCTCGAAAAACCTCTTCTTCTGCAGTGTATATGATTTTTAACATGCTCTATCTCCTCTCAGTATAAGAAAATAATTCGAGTCCTTAAATGACAAACAGGCCCTCATTTCTTAAATTTCTTTTTATGAATGAACAAATCTCTTAACTGGTTCTCCAGTTAGTAACAAATGAGTAATAAGAAAAACAGAGAGCTTTCCAGATCTCAACTAATTACAGGTCATAAAATATTGAGAATCACATTTACTTGAGTAAGGCACCATATGGATACATTAATATAGCATCATTCTGTTGTCTGTACTATTTCCTCATGAATATCAGAAGGAAAAGCATACATTTGTTAGCCAATATAAAAAGAATCCATGGTGATTGGTCATTTTCTCAGTCTTCTCTCAATCACTCTTATAACCACAGCTTTGTCTATGCTCCCTTTGAGCAGTAACCTCTATGATTGTCAGCATGGAAAACAGAACAACACTAGAAAAAAGGACCCTGCACACTCTGCCCTATTCCTCACTAAGCACATTGCTTAGTGACAGCTGGTTGTCACTAAATATGTGAAGAGGAGATGGGAAGTTCCTTATGCTTACTTTCTGCTAATAAAAATGTTTTGTGGTTTTTTGTTTTTGTTTTTGTTTTTGTTTTTCAGTTTTTGTTTTCCTTTCAAAGCTCCTAAAATGGAAAACGATTAGGATTGGTACTTGTTAATTTTTCACAATGAAGAGTATATTAAATATAAAAACTGAGGCACACGCCGAGGTAATTAATAACTATTACAAGTTTTCACATGTCATTGATAAACTGGGCTTTTTATCAGTTGAGTTGTTTTTCTTACCAGTCCTTTAAATTTTCTTTCCACAGTAGCTATAGGAAGATGGAGAATAAATAAGAACCAATATACAAGGCTAAAAAAATGTAATGAGGTTTATCTGTACTCTCTTGGTGTACAGTTCTGAAACCTTAAATTTTGCCTTCAAAAGTAGAAGTTGAAAGTTTGGGAAACAAGTGATTATTTTATTTTCTTAGTTTGAAGAACTGGGACAGTGGAATTCAATTTTCCTCACACTCTGCAAGGAATCTACATTGCAAAGGGTAGGAAGAATTGCCACGGTTATGTGGGCAATTCTTGTCATTGTACGTTTCAGTGAAGAGATTTTTATTCTAAGCATTGTTTTCTATTCTTCCCTTTGTTTTCTGCCACAATTCCTACTTCTCTGCACTGGAGGACCTGAGTTCAATTCTTTAGAACTGTCATTAAATCCTTTCTGAAGGTTTGAACTAGTCCAAGAATTGCCTGATTGAGCAGTTTGATTGTTCTGTTCTACCTTATTATTTGATTACTCTTTTGAGTGATCATCATTTTTTTTTCCCCCCCTTTTTTTTGTCTTTTTTCGTGTCCAGCAACGGACTGCAACCCTCAGTGTCGCGCCCGTACCGGACCGGGAACGGCAACAACCAATTCTGTCTTTTATGAGTAAACACAATTTTTTTCTTCTTTCAATCATATGAAGACTTTTTGATTACAGAAAAGCAAAAAACTTGAATATTGACTTCTGAAACAATTAGGATGGCTTTTTTCCCGTTTATAAAACATATTTGAGAAGTAGAAGATTACATTTTGAGTTGTGTTTATAGATTCTAGTATGAATAAAAGTGAGTTATATAAGGAAAAACCCCAGAAAACATGGGTTGATTTATATTTTTGTCCAATAGTCTCAACCTAACACAATATCTATGTCTACACCTATCAATATATAGAATGTCATGCTGTTTGTAAAAGAGATTTTATAGAATCCCTTTGAATTTGACAGAAACTCCAGAAATTGAGTTAGGTAGATATGATTATATCAATGAAAAGTCAAAAAGGACAGATATGGTTTCAAAAACTGACGTTTAGATTTCAAGCGATTTTTTATGAGATTGTATAAAGAATAAGTGTACAAATTTCTATGATTCTAAATATTCTGTTCTTTCCAAGATAGTAGGTTTTACTATATTTTTTCACAATTTTTAATTTTGTTGAGCTTTTTTAAAACACCCATGCAAAGTAGAGTATAAAAATTAAAATAAATTTTTAAATATAATTGAGCCCTATATTTCCTTGAGAAAGCTAGAGATTCCATACAGAATCTCATATTTGTATTGCTTTTTCATTACATAAGTAATACAGGAATACTTTATAAATTATTCCAAAACCTAGAAGTATATGAATTAGTAAGTATGTAAATTCCTTACTTATTTACTGCTACTTGATTTTTTTCCCCTTAAAATGTATCTTGAAGTTCTTTCCGTATAATTTATTTCATTTTTTAATCATGTCATGGTTTCCCATAATGGAGATATAATATAAATTTATTTACAATTTCCTCATCGTTGAGAATTTTGTCCATATTTTTACTATTAATAAATTATGCTTCAATGAACTTTTTTCATCTACCTGTACACATGAGAATTTGTAACATATTTTTCTAGAGACAGAATTAGTGGTTCACCATCATGCCCACTTTTGAGTTTGACACATCCTGCTACAGAACCCTCCCCATCAGCAACATATAAGTGACCCCTTGTCTCTACCAGTGCCAAACCAGAGATAATCAATAATAATTATTACACTATTATTTCAATTTTTATTTCCTTGATTATCTAGTAATGCTGATCAGCTTTTCAAATATTTATTTTTTTCTCAGAATTACCTATCCCTATGTTTTTACTATTTTTCGATAATGTTGTTTT